TTTTGCCAGTACTCACCAGGTCTGCGCTGTCTAAACAAGAACTGCACTATTTGGTATTATTTTTGTACTAGCAGCAGCCGAAATAAATCATATTAGTAGGGGTGTGGGTGGTACTCTTATGAGAAGTAATAATCCAAATAATAATCAGGATAAATTATGATTATGATGGATTGTTAAAAGGAAAGGGGTAAAATGGCCAGCACTGTGAAAAAGTTTTAAAACTTCCTTGTTTTTAAATATTTTAATGTTTGATTATCCATGACTTCAACCGTGCCATGTTTTCATAAAATGCAATTAATTGCTATTATTTCCAATTTTAACATGACCGCGTTCCTGTGTGGAAATTCACAATAGGGAAATGGCTTGATGTATGGGAAGACAGTTACCTAATTAGAGCATAAGAAATTGAATCTTTACAGCATGCAGGTCATATAATTACTGTTAATTTAACGCTCAAATTCTCTGTCATTAATTTTTATTCTTTTAAATATAGTTTGGCAGGGGGTTCTGAACCATAGCAATAGATTTTACTGTATGTGAGAGCATACTGGCCCTTTGACTGAATTACAGCAGACCTTGCAGTCCAAATAACAAGATTCGCATCATTTATGCATTATTAAGCCATGTAATTGAACGACCCATAGTTTGCATATTACACTATTAAAATAATGTGTTTTCCTTTTCTTCTAACACGAATGTTTAAGCCTTTGCGAGGATTGGGTAATTCTTCGAATTACAACCTAATTACCAGAAATGTTCTCTTGATTTGGGTGATTTTTGTAACATGCTTCTAATTTTATTATGTAACCATATCTATTGAACGTTTTCCACTTTAAAGTTTAAGCCCTTTGAAGAAAAGGATTGGTTAAATATAATAACTGTTTTTTGCACACTCCAATTTTATTTAAAAATTTTAAGGGTGAGTAACGGACGTTGTTGTTCCATTATTCATTGTGCATTTAAAAATGCTACTACAGCACAAGTAAATTAATTCGCTTCGAAAGTTAGACACAACCTGTTTAGTAAATATAGTATTGATATGTACAGTTAATAGTATTTAGAAGTTTATTTCACACTTACTGTTCAGCCATACTCTTACTTTCGTTAAAACGGGCTCGTAGACTAAGATCTCTTATTAATAATCTTGAATACACTGATTCTGTCAGAGCTGTGTGATTGATTAAACACTGGCTCAATAAGTGTTAGCGTTAGGAGAACAGTTCTACTTCTAGAGCTATGTATTCCTCACGTATATTCAAAAGCAAACTTGAAATATAACCCATTATTTTATTTGATCTTGTTTTAATGTTACCCGGGTTTTTACAATTCGAATCGATAAAAATCCAACCTCCTTTTCAACGCAACAGGCCTAGAAATTAAAAAAATAAAAGCAAAAATGATTGCAACGGCCGCACGAGAACATTATAAAATCTGTAAAATGGTCAAAACTTTTATGCAAGCCGGCGCAAACATTTTTCACGTTGGGTAAGTTTCAAAAAAGGCTCTCGAAAATATTACACGCAAAGTATTTAAAATCTAGCTGATCTTTAATTTCTACAAAATATATTTTTGCGGGCTGTATAATGTAGCCTATAGTTTTCTGTAATACCCCTTTGGTTTCTTTTTTTTTCTCACTGGGGCTTTGTCCCGTCAGCGAACCGTTTAAAAGGGTCTTTTCGATATGTAAGAAGAGGCTGTGACGTGAGTGCTGTTGTTTCATTTACTTCTCTCTATAGCAACCAGCAGCAGCTCTGAAAAAATGCACCTTCTTTGGACAATGTCATCCTTCTGAGTGGTGCAGAGATCAGCAGCTGTTGCGTTCCTGCCACATACATCTCACTATACCGTATCAGCGACCAACACATTGGCTCTGTGGCCGGTTTATGCACTAGTTATTTGTCCATACCCCCCCAAAAAACGTCAAAATAATTTAGGAGCGGAAAACAAAAACAAAAACAACAGAGATACAATTCAGTATGATTTTATTTTTCGATGACATTCATCACGTTTTTCTGTAATTCTATAAAAGACCAGTGGTAATAGATTTCTACAGGGTAGGTTTGAAAAGCTTTCGGTGAAAGACCTTTATTATTACTGTATGTGCTGACATTAAGTCTCAAACAGAATAAAATAAGTCCACTGTGCATTATATTACAAGCAGTGCGTGAAAGACCTTATTTTCATACCGTTTATTTTTCTAACAAAAAAAACTTGCTACATCCTATCTAAAGTCGAACCTTTATAGATACTAACCTTAAAAGCATTTAAACACGTTAGTCTTTGAACCTTACTAAATCACAGTTAAGGTAGGCCCCCTACAGACGCAAGCACCTGTACACCACTTAAATCTAAAGACCAAATTAAACTGCACGTACAGTATATATCGTTGACTTTGCACATTCACAGCCGAATTCTCCAAATGAGTTTTACTAAATTAAATATACCGTCTCTTTAATCGTGGTTTAAAAACGAGGAGGGACAGCAAACAAGTTAAAATAAGCCCTAAGGCTCTATAAAAAATAAGATACACCAATGGGAGTGACTGAAATGTATAGCAAACGTAGATTACTAGGGCAGCGCGCGAAACATGAAAATAGCAATTAAACATGTTTTGTTATACATTCGCGGGAAATAAGCACAAAATCAATTTGTCATGGTGGTTTTATGTACGTAAACAAACATGGTTATTTTTGCGTATATACTGTACATGTAACAAAACAGAATCCTCAAGAAATCCTTTTCGTCCGCACAAGAATACGGTTCATACGGTCTTAAACAGTTTTCTATATGTACAGTACGTTAAGGATAATTTTATTAAATGTACACGATTACACCGTGGAGATGTTGATTAGGTTACATATTTTTGTTATCCGCGTCAATGCATTTTAAAGTTCTGACCATTTTAAATGGTATGTGAAACAAAGAACTGTAAAGTTAAATCAAAATTATACTTCTCCATCATAAAAAAAAACTGAAGTATTGAGATGATGTACTCTAAATATTTTTTTTTTCCCGAAATGAAGGCGATATCATGTAGAGCTGTCAGTCGTACGCTTTCACTCCTTATGAATCCCCCCTGTCAGAGCTACTGTAGTGGCAGTTTATTATTTGAACAGCTGGCTTGAGTAAAGGCAGGGCTGAATCAAACACAGCAGTCTGTGCTGAAGGAGATGACATCACCTTTAAGCTGGCTTTGGACTGCAATAAAAGAGAAGTTTGAAGTTCGTAAATGAAAAAAAAAGATTGCCTAAGGTTATGAGGCATGCACCTGATTGGAGAACACAACAAGGAAAAATTAACTTAATAACAGAAATGGGTTCTGTATAATAAAATCCTAACCGTACATCAGGGGGTACACTTAATTAATGAAGCGTATTAACTAATGTATTAAAGAGTTAAACGTTAACCTTTACTGCAGATTCTTTATTCACAATAAATACGAGGACTGTTTTTTTTTTTACTAAAACATTTTACCAGTTCTCTGGGTTTATGGAAACTTTGAAATTAACAAACTTTTTTTTTATTTTACTATAATTTGTGATTCTCGCAGACGTCGTCCTTAGCCAGGATGACTTATAGTTGCACACAGTTAATACAATAAGTGGATCATTTAATTAAATAATTCATTAATGAAAATTAAAGATATCCCCCTCACAGAATTAGACAATATTTCCTAAACTGCATTTGCAGCGTAGGACAATATAATAAAACCTGCTTAAATATAGCGAAAAATAAAAAGTCAGTAGTAGTAATAAACTTAAGATTTGAAATAAAAATAATGATTGTTAAGGCCGCACGTGGTTCAGCTGCAGACTCTCAAAGCAGTATCTCTTGAATTTAAAACGAAATTTTTAAAAGTCGTTCCTTTACCTTTGAGTGAGGGGGAAATGACCGAAGCAGGGTTCCTTAAAATAAGGGGAGCGGCCTATATAAATTCAACACTGTGAGAAAACTTGAAACTTGAAAACTTTTCTTTAAATTAAAAATAAAATGCTAAAACAAAAATACTATACTACAAGTTTAAAACATGATTTACTTGACACATAAAATATCGATTATTTTTTTTTTAGCCAAACTGGACAGCCGTAGGTAACAGCGGTATACTCTCGTCTTGTTGCAGTCTGATAACTGTTTTATACTTGGATGTCGGGACCTTTGGTTGCAAGCGTTGGGAGGCTTTTGTGCAGGTGGTTAAGGTCAATTTAATCAATCCTTTCCGTTCGTTAACACTCCCAACCTTTTCCTCTTTCCCATTGGCTGTTCGTGAGGGTACTTTTTGCAGTATTTACGGAAGAGCGGACTGCAAGGCACAAACCCGTTCTTGAAGTGAAGTTTGGTGTTTCTCTTTGACAGCGCAACCGCGTCACTTCGCTCACCTACTGAGGGATGCTTCCGACTCGGCTACTAGTACGACACTGTTCCCTGTACTCTACCGCACAGAGCCCAGCCAAAAAAGGAACAGTCAGCTACAGAAACGCAGAAAGATGTCGTCTGGCTCCCGGGTTTTGCTTTCGATTTTGCTTTATTAAACCAAATGTTATATACATATATAAATAATGTCTGCAACACTTTTTGTTGCATTCAAAAAATAGTTGTCCTGATGACTTAGGCTATACGTTATGTCTACATAAAATATTAACTTCTCTTTAAAAGTGAAAATTAATCTTCAATATTTCATTTTGAAATCCCTGATTTTCACCATTCAACATTTTCAACATTTCCTGGCCGAAACGGACGTCCTTTGCTCGGTTGTCGCGGATTTTTTTTTTTTCAGCTCTTGTTGTAGCTTGTGATGATGTTTTCGAGGCGCCGCAGAACTAGCTGTACTGTTCGAGTGAATGAAGTGGGTTTGTAAAGCTGAGCCTGCAGCCAATCAGCGGCGGTTGGTAGGGGCAACCGTGTCTATCAAACAGCTCCAAGCCAATAGAAGCGAAATCGGGGCGGAGCTCAGGTGCTCGCCGCTGCGTCCACTTGGCCAAGAGCCTGGGAGACGCCTGTGGCAAAAAAGTAACTGTCAAATGCACGGCTCCTTTAACAAGAGCGATCAGTCCGGCTCCGAGAGTCATGGCGACTACAGCGTCTAATCATTACAATATTCTCACCTCCAGCTCCTCCATCGTGCACTCGGAGCCCGGGAGCATGCAGCAAGGGACGGCTTACAGAGATGCACAGACACTGTTGCAAAGCGATTATTCACTACAGAGCAATGGTCATCCTCTCAGCCACGCACACCAGTGGATAACAGCACTGTCACACGGAGACGGGGCTCCGTGGTCCTCCAGCCCATTGAGCCAGCAGGACATAAAGCCCACTGTGCAAAGCGGCAGGGACGAGCTGCACAATTCCAGCAGTTTGCAACACCAGCCGCGACCGCCACATCTGGTGCACCAGCCGCATGGGAACCACCACGACGCAAGGGCATGGAGGACTACCACGGCAGCTCACATCCCAAGCATGGCTTCATCTAACGGACAGAGTCTTATATACTCACAGCCGGGGTTCAGTGTTAATGGCATGATTCCGGGGAGCAGTCAAGGAATGCACCATCACAACCTGCGAGATAGCCACGAAGACCACCACAGCCCCCACCTCAGTGACCACGGGCACCAGCAGCCGCCACAGCATCAGCACCAACAACATCAGAGCCATCACGACCATTCAGATGAGGACACCCCGACCTCGGACGACCTGGAACAGTTTGCAAAACAGTTTAAACAGAGGAGAATCAAGCTGGGCTTCACCCAGGCGGACGTCGGACTCGCCTTGGGTACGCTTTATGGTAATGTTTTTTCCCAAACCACGATCTGCAGGTTCGAGGCCCTGCAGCTAAGCTTCAAGAACATGTGCAAGCTCAAGCCTTTGTTGAACAAGTGGCTGGAGGAGGCGGATTCCACTTCTGGGAGTCCCACCAGCCTGGACAAGATAGCAGCGCAGGGGCGGAAGAGAAAAAAGCGGACCTCCATCGAGGTAAGCGTCAAGGGGGCTTTGGAGAGCCATTTCTTAAAGTGCCCAAAACCTTCCGCCCCAGAGATCACGTCGCTCGCGGACAGTCTTCAGCTGGAGAAAGAGGTGGTTAGGGTTTGGTTTTGTAACAGAAGACAGAAAGAGAAAAGAATGACCCCTCCCGGAGGAGCCCTCCCAGGACCAGAGGATGTGTATGGGGACACTCCGCCACATCACGGGGTTCAGACTCCTGTTCAGTGAACAAACACAACCCCCCATCCCCCCCAACCCCCCCACCCCTCCCCGAAACTTTTTTTTTGATTGTGTTTCTTTTTATTTCCCTTATAACAAACAGCAAAGCACTGGACTATCCTAAGAGGTAGCAGGTGTTATGATATGTTTTGAACCCGTACAAGGGGAGCATCCAGGCAATGCAGTGAGTATTCAAAAAATAACTTAAATAAATAGCAGGCTCTGAGATTAAAGCTTTTTTTTTTTTCCAAAGGAGCGAAATGAGAGAATTTATGTCCTGTAAAGATATGCCCAGCACTGTGACACGACGCTGTTTAAATGTGTAGCCCCTTTGTGGAAAGAACGCTTGGAAAAGTAACAATTAGAACTGAGCTGCAAGGCACATAAGGTTTACATTAATTTTATTATATAAAATAGCTCAATATTATTTGTATAATCCTGTACAGAAATTCAGTCCACGACGAAAACAAAATACAAAAATGTTTTCATGAAATAACGCCATCTTTACATCAACAAAAGCAAATGGAGTTGAATGTAATTACGTCCTCCTCTGTGCTAACATTAATTAGAAGTAATCTTCCTCCAATGACTCTTTAGTTGACCAGCAGGTTAATCAGAGATGCGTTCAAATTGAATGTAGTAGAATTGTATAGGTATGGGAGCGAAACGCAGCTTCGTAGCCAAATGTACGTCCACATGCTTACTGTACATCTATGAAACATTGTCATTGGTATTTCGTTAAAGGTTATTTTTGTTATTTTTTCCTGTATGCGTAGCAGTGGGGGTATTTGCCCTTTATTTGAACCCTTTGTGTAATTTATATTAATTATAAAACAACAACAATAACCGCAGCCTCAAACACCTACAAACATCTAGAAGCGCGGCAGCAGAACACGGGCGGGTCATGGAGGGGGTACGCTGTGTTACAAAACTGACACTTCACATTTGGTAGGATGTTTTACTACGCTAGTATTTTAACAGTTAATTCAAATTAATTTTGTAAATACTGTACATTTTCAATAAAGTCATAGCATAATTCTTTGCACACTGGGGCACTTTTACTTTCAAGATTTTTTAAGACTAAACAGGTTTTAGCTGTTCGTTTATTTTTTTATCCAAAATGATTTGACATAATTTTGTATTAGGTTTGAATACATTATATTTTCTATTCATAGTAATTTGTAGCTGGAAAAAAAGGCTTATTTGTAGTAAAATGTTCGCATTGCCGCTGCTGTCTGCTTCATTTTAGCAGCTTGGTTCTGTTTCGCGAAAAACATTGAAAATAATCTTTTTTTATCCCATCATTTACTTTCAACAAAATGCTGCTCGGGCATTATCTTTGAGGATTAAAAATGTTATTAAACCTAAAGTTTACAGCAAACGTGAAAAAAGGAAAAGTACATGTAGATTTAAAATTATTGGGATACTGAGCAATTCTGTCCTGATTTGCAAAGAAGGGCGCTGTACAACGAAATATATTTTTGCTATTATTTAAAAATGTATGTTTTGAAAATAATTCCATAACAAAAGGGAAAGGATATTTAACTATCTTTTTATTTAGGTCCGAAGGGTAAAATTAATTACATTTAATTATTGTCCTTCTTGTCCTATTGTACACAACGCCTGGGACGATGTTATTAGATTATATTTTTTCAAGCCTTTTTCACTGCCATTATTTTTTGGAAGTATTTTTACTTATGATTAATTTTACTCATGCATTGTCAGGAGGCGTACAAGCACTGAGCTTTTATTGTGTTAACATGATTGTAATTTATTCAAAACTAGCTTTTAGTGTTAAAACCAGGCCCGATCGGATGTTATCGGACTGGGTGAACCCTCAGAATATGATGATGTGGGAATAGGGTTAGAAAAAAGTTGAAACCGAAATGTGTTATTACAATTTTCCTTTCATAAAGTTTATTGAGCGAGGTTATCATGCACACGTTACCACGATGTATATATGTGTATATTTGTCTTTTCAATTAGGGTATGGGTTGTTCTTTGTATATTTCTTTTGATTTTTAAAATGCTGCCCAGGGAAATATTTTCATATCATTTTAAAGTGGCCTGCCTCAATGTAATTTATTTCTTTGAAAGAAAACCAGAAGTTCTGGAAACGGTTCTTTCTTCTGTAGCTTTAATTAATTAATTGATTGATTGATTGATTAATTAATTAGCTGAAAACTATGTGGGATGTATTTTTTGTTATGCTTTTTGTTCAATCTCTCTATTAGACTTTGGGTTCATTTGGATGTGCTTGTGGGAAAAATAAAACAGCGCAGAGTTCATTATATATTTATGTTAAAGTAATATTTTATTACTTACATAAACCAAGAATTGCACAAAAATTTTTAAAATGGTCTTGTCATTAAAATACATTTCTTTTCATTATACCAAAGTGGGAAGTATATTTATTCACTCGCAAGAAGAGATCGAAGTTTTAGAGACCACGAAACAGAACATAGACTGCTCCAGTATTGTTTGATTTAAAAGTTCTGTGGGGAAACTGCTTTTTCAAATGTCTTAATATGAGCTCCAGACAACCAGAAGCCAACGTGTTTTTTTTTTGTCTTGAAATAAACTTCACCAGCTTAAGAAATGAGACTTTTAAATAACTGTATAAAATAACCTTTATTTACTGTAAATAACAAAAGCTAGAAATATATTTATTATTGAACATTAAAGTATGCTTGTTATTACTACTAGTAGTAATAATATTAAAACATCTACTTTTGATACCATATTATCAAAAGTATATTAATTGTTAATAATTTTACGTGTATTAGTGTTCAAGTGACATGAAAATGAGAAAAAAATGAAAGTCATGAAGGTAATATATTTCATTTTTAAACTGAATGTTCTTATTCTGGATTTTAAATAGAAATGTAAACAAATGGATATGAACTTTTTATATACTTTAATGTTTATAGTTAATGTTTTCAACAATAAAATACAATCGACAAATAAATGCGATATAATACGTATTGTTATAAGTCATTAGAAAGTTATAAAACTCTTCTAGACCGTAATTCTTGTATTAGTATAATTGTTTTCCAAACATAAGGTGAAATATTTTGCGTTTTACCTTTGATAATGTATTGTGTTCTAATCAATAGTAGCGTCACAAACAGATTCGGTTAAACGATCTTCTAGCAGAGAGGTGACAGAAAGACTGAGTGTTCTGTGACCACATACAGGCCGATGGGTAAAAATGTTAAAGTAAGGTATGGATCTCAAAGTCCCGGTCAATATTTTCAGTAGATAGGTTTAGAAAAGGAACCATCCGCCCTCTACCGGCTATTTTTTTTTTTTTGGACCGTGCTTTGGACGTCGTATAATGTTGGCAAAGCGTTCCTGCTCAGGCCGATGTTGATGTGTTCCTTTGACCTCACAAGATTCTGCCAATACTATACATTTTTGGAACTGATTATGGACCTTTAAAATATTGTTGAAATATGCAAGACATTTTGGAGGTCACTGAATCCTTTGCGTGACATTTCTGCTGCTTTATTAAACGGCTATGCTTCACCTCTAAGAAAGGTTTGGCTTTTCATAAATAAAATGTTACGAAGTTCTAAAGCTTGATTATATTTAATTAATTTTACATAAATATGATAGACGAAACTGTAGGTATAAAATATGTTTCTAGGAAATGATATTATTTTTTTCTGAAACTTCATGGGCTACCTTCTGTTATTCCTACATTCGAAATACATTTTCGTTATTTTAAAAAGATTAATAACAATATTATTGGCCCAGGACAACCCGAAAACTACATGCTGCTGTCAATTTTTCCGAGAGTGAACTTCGAGTGCGTTTGAACCAGTGTGGAATAGGATGTTGTTTATTTTTACAAAAAAAAATGTATCCGGTAATTTGATATGTTTACGTAATATTTTATGTTTTGGAATTATACTTAATTTTAAATGAATTATATATCAAATCTACTTATATTTCTATACCATATACACATTTATACTGATGCACACGAATTTTTTAAAAATTTAGTGTATCAATATGTACACATAGCGCTGTTGTAAACATTTTAAACTTTATTTTTAAAACTTCCATTAAAAACAGTTTATGTTTCACGTAGTCAAAATAACATGATATAAATACAGTATATGGAAGGTTGTATATTGTTCTTAAAATAGAGCTTTATTACGACACCTATTTTTAACCCGTCATGTTATCTGAAAACTTCTTAAATATTCTGCCAATTCTGTACAAAATATTTTCGTGTAGTGTTCTTTAATTTATGCTAGGCATTCATCTTAATAGCCGCTTTGTGTTCATTATACGGTTTAGTTTAAGCGATATTGTAACCTTTGGGTTAATGTATTATGTATTTATGTTTATATCTAAATATATGCATATAATTCTAAAAACAATTAGAATTATATGCATATATATGCTGCCTCTAAAACTAGTTAGAATCTAAAGAAAACAATGCGTTGACAACGCCACCACAAACTCAGGCCAAGCCACAAGTCTGTAATTTCAAAATTAACAGCCTTCTTAATCTGAATCCAATGTTCACTTCACTTCTTTCCGTCAGTGTATCTAATATGGTTTTGCCCTTCAAGGTTTCCTAAGAGGCAGACTGTCTTTTTAAATGTTTAAGCAAAATTGCACTTAGAAGAGGAGGAGGAGTGAACTGAACAAGCAAAAGGAAAATATATGAACTGTATCTCTTCATCTATCCTTCAAATGGTTCATTGTGAAATACCCCCGACTCCATCCATCCATTTTCTAACTGCTTTATCCAAAACAGGGTAACCCCGACTCTTTCTTCCCTGTATCCTTAGATCGGTAAACTGTATTGACTGCCGTCATTAACATAATCTGTATTTGATGGGTTAGGTTAGAAAGAAGTTAGTTTTATTGTTCCTTGCATTTAGGTATTCGCGCATCGCCGTTGTTTGTACACACTGTCATATCACGTGTAAACTATGGATTATTATTCTAATTATTCCAGTAGCTATTCTAAAGCTTGATGTCGTAAGGCCTCTGCAATACAATAGAGTAATTATTTAAATTTAAAAAAGCTTGTGCAGTCTACTTACTCAGACGTGATATCGTTCTGGGAATATGACCTTATCATTTTGTGAAATAGTTATTAAACTAAAACACCGCACACATTTCACATCTGTATCTAGGATCACGTTTGATCAAAGATTAATTTTATGGCTGTCACATTCTGTTTATATGTATTCTTTAAAAAGAAAATATTGAGATTATGAATGATGTATTGTAAACTACAGTATACATTTAATAATTGTTCTTACGTTGAGCAAATAATCCAAATAAGTGAAGTGAATTCGTTTATTAGACTATACCTGCTGTCAAACAGGACCGTTTAACAACTTTTTGCCATTCTGTATATTCTCCATAAAACGCAAAATGTGTTGACTTTATATTATAAATTGCTTACGAATTCTTGTTCGCGGGAAACATTAAACGAAAACTTTCGATATTTCCGCACAAAGATTTTCACCCACAGATTTCGGACATCAGTGCGCAAATTGTTCTTCCGAGAAATTATGGGACGTTCAAAAATATGATATATTCATATTAGGATAGAAATCTTAATTACAACTTTCATTCAAAACTGGTTCTAGTAACAACTATAATTGTTGTTACTGATATTTCTACCGTTTTGAGTGGTCATATGAAAATTATATGCTGTTGTCCTTAATTGCAATGTTGCCAGATCAGGAAATAAAATGGCCAAAATCACAGATGTATTGCAGGCTACAGGTTAAAGGAGACCTATTTTAAAACACTTTGCACATCGACTTGATTTAAGATATTTTCAAGCTGCACTCCAAGAAGCGTTAAAAGCCTACCAGAGAAAACAATAACACTGTTTGGAAGAAAGAAGTAATGGATGGCTTCATAAAATAATATGAAGTTATTTTATGTCAGGGGTCTGACTACAATAATTCTAATTAGACCATCCCTCTCACTTAGTATACAGCGAAACGGGTGTTTGTGGTACAGAGGAGTAATGTTATCCCTAAAGGATTTAAGAGTGTTATCGTG